CCCATCTTCAGTGTAACATCTAAAGATATTAACAGTTGAACTGATAAATGAAAAAAAATCGACTATCGCATTTGCATACATTATTTTATTATTAAAATTATATACAGTTTCTAGCGGTGATTATTCTTGTATTTTACAAGTGTTTTGTCATTGTTTGTCTGTTACCCGCTCACATACACCTAACTAACTTCAATAGGGAATCTTGATCGATATCGCCGTTGAGTAAATTAACCAACCAATCAGTGAACGTGTTACTTCCACATCACATAGACGAGTTTCGATTTCCCTCATTGGTGCGTTTAATGAGCGTGCGCAGCGACAGAATAGGGTCGCGTAGCATGCATCCGTTTGCATCAGTATTTCACAACAAGTTCAAGTTGAATTATAGACAAACGCATATTCTTGTATTGTCTGGAACATCTTATAATGTACGCCCTGTATACACACAGCGCGACGATTTATTTGAAACAGGCATGATGATTGGACGTAGGGATTGCCATTAGCAGTGCTGCACATGAGAGTCAGTTCGATTTGCAGATTTCACAATAAAAATAAACATAAAATAAGTGTAGAAAAGTAGTGATAAATTATACAGATTGTATTTAACTCAGAATGTATATAATGCAACTCATACAAGTGAATGAAAGGGCATCATGCGGGAGATATATGGGTCTCATATAAACAAAGATGGCGACTTAGACTTTGCAGATCAACGAGTACAACAGTCTGTCCCTTCAAATGTATAGAATACGTGTATGCCACATGTTGCTTGAACGCATACACAAATGCACAACTGTCTGAAATTTCAGAACAGATCGTTTTTCGGAGACCGTATTGTAACATATGGTTTTCATTGTTTTGCAGCAACTCGGTTGCCCAGACACAACACGTGTATGACCGAGATCACTACAAAATGTCACTGGATACTATATATATGAGACAATGAACAACTAACCAAGATAACATAGTATTTAAGATAATTATTAACATATTATATTAGATACTACAAATTACAGACAAATGCAAATAACATAATTATTACTTTATATTTGCTTTTATATTTGTAAAGGTGAATATTGTTTCGAGGTTAAAACCATTGATGTTTAAAAGTATCATAATTTTCTTTTATTTTTAAATTTGTGGAATTTTACGTTACAATGAAAATGAAATGAAACTATGAGGTCACTGTACTATGGCGCCAATTCGGGTATAAAATGGAATGTAAATAGCAACGTTCTGTTTGTTTTATGGCATGTTTTATTTGTCTCTTATAGCAAAGATCAATCTCAATATATTATAATGACCTAAAAAACAATTAACACATATCAAAAAAGCGCGCTCTGATAACGCATTGTTAAATAAAAATAATATTATCAATAATACATATTATTCGTGGATATTTAAATAAGAAAACAACCACATTTGCTACCCATATGACAGCTATTCAACAGCACACATGATTTTAATGCTTACAATCTATCGGTGAATAGGAAGGGACGAGTATTTATAAAGGTTCGCCTAATATAACGATTTTCACAAATTTACACCAATGTATATTTTTTCCAATAGGTATGTTATAATTGCCACGAATGTGCAAATGGCGAATGATATTCGTTTCGGTGACATAGAATGCCGTTCAATCGACCGAAGTATTCCGAGAAAACACGACGTTTGTCGAAAGAATTTAACTTTGTGAGTATATTTATACGCGATACAACATTGCCATATATATAATAGTAATCTTAAAGATGCAATGTGGCCGAGAACATGCCGATTTTTACTGTTGATAAATAAATTAAACTATGAGTTATCATGGCCTGCATTCCTTCGATGAAACAATGACATTTAAACACGCATGCGCACTGGTTATTTTGGTACGTACAATAACTTTCAGTGCATATGCGTATATTAGTATTTTTCCATTCAACGAACACTGTTGAGTGTGTGCTACAAAATAAACATTTATAGTTCAACAAGTTCACAAAATCAAAATTCAATTAAAAAATATATTTTTGTCCATCATTAATTGCATTATACATGTATTGAATAATACATTATTTTACTTCCTAATACATTATATTGTACTGCTACTTGATTTACATTAACAGTAATCGTCGCTGATGTCTAATGTAGTGCCACGAGTTAACATTGCGCCTCTTCTGTTTATTGTTGGCTGTGCGTATACTAGTATGTCGTTCTGGAGAACAGCGCCCCCATGGTCATGTTCGTAGTTGTCAATTGCAATTACTGTTGAATATAACTGACAGCGAATATGTAGGTGAAACCTAGACATTTAGAATACAGTTGCTGTTATTATATTGTATTTAGTGGAAATATGTCTGCGTGTCTTCATTATACTGTAAGGGACAGTGTACTCATGGACCTAATTGTGGATCTATGGTGTACCATACGTGACAGCGTATCACCGTCTTCCTGAACTCTACCTCATTAGGAAATGCAAATTCCAAATAAGTGTTCACCTTATGGCCCAGTCCTTGTTGTAAATAGACGTCAAGTGGTGCATTCACTACGACGGTCACTGGTTTGTCAACATGGCCGCTTGAACATTCAATAGCGGTGGTTGTCGCGCTGCGCATGCGCGATATTTGTGTTTATACACATTGCTTTTCCCACGATCCAATCACAAGTGTGAGGTTTGACCTGGGCGCGACTTGCACTATTTAACCGCCGGTGACTCCTTCGATGCTTTCCTATCACCTAACAAATACCCAATTAAAGCTTGATAACGTCCCAGTTTGTACTCGTTGATCTGCACAACAGTCAAAGTCGCTATCTTTGTTTACATGAGACCCATATATCTCGCGCATGCGTGGCGCGACGACTACCACTCTTTCATCTACTTCCCTGTTAAAATATTAGCGCAACAGTTGCCACATATTACATATATATTATGTATCTTCCCAAGACGAGTTATTT